CCCCCGGCATGCTGGTTTCCTTCTGGTTCCTAAACATAACACGTACATTCCCACCCTGAGCCTTTGCACCTGATCTTGGCTTTTCCCTGGATCCACATTCTCCACAAATGACCAGAATCCCCTCCCTCACTTCCTTCTCTCTACTCAAATGACCTCTTTCCAAGATGGCAGCCCTACACAGCACATTCTGTCCAATCGTGCTCACTTTCCTTCTTAGCACACCCACTCCCCAACCAGCACTTGTTTGACTGATTGTCATCTGTCTCTTCCACAGAGTGTCAGCCTCATGAGGTCGGAGAGAGTTTCTTCTTGGTCACTGTGATATCCCTGGAGCCCAGCATAGGTGCTCAGTAGATGCTTAGTAGGCACATAACAGGTGCTCAGGAACCACGTGTCGATGGAAGAGATGAATTCTGGGGGGAGTCTAGGAGAGGGGTGGAGTGTGATATCCCGAATTCCGATCCTCCTTGTGTGTCATCACTGAATGTTAGTCCCTCCTAAGGGACGGTCTTTGTATCAGATCACTTCGTTTTCCGTAAACTTTAGAGGTCTGCCTATGACCTTCAGGACTTTTGTTCTGTCTGTCCTTTATTTCATACATCTCTTTAAATCAATTCACTTGACTGTTTTAAGTTATTTTAGAGAGAGAGAGAACGAGCAACATGAGTTGGGGGAGAGAAGCAGAGGGGGGGAGAGAGAGAGAGAGAGAGAGAGAGAATCTTAAGCAGGCTCCACCCTCAGCACAGAGCCTGATGCGGCACTTGATCTCACGAAACTGTGAGATCATGACCTGAACCAAAATCAAGAAAGAGTTGGATGCTTAAATTGACTGAGCTACCCGGGCACCCCCACTTGACTATTTTTTAAACAGCCTCATCCTAAGCTTTTGTTAAAAAACAAACAAAACACAAAAAAACAACCCAATCACCAGTTTGGCGTGTCGCTTTCCTTTTGTTCCGATCCATGCCGAATGAAACATCAGTATTAATGTAGAAATTGCTCTCCAGCATGGCACTCGGGCGGCCCTTTGGGCAGCACAGGGTTACCGGAGTCCCTCATTATTGACACTGCTCTGCTCCTCGGGGCGAAGTCCTTAGGGGCCTTCCTATCAGCCCAGACCTGCCGGAGCCAGAGTCTGTCGTCAGAGGACAGGTGCGTCAGGGTGGGGTCCCTGCGTTGCGCAGGAGATCTGCTCGGAACTTCCCCCGTGGCTCCTGGGAAGTCCCCACGATTCTCTGCCTCATCCTCCGCCACTCTCTGTCCTTCCTCTCGGCTCGCGGGACCTTGCCAAATATGTTCCCACTTGGGGGGCCTTCACACGCCGTGTTCCCGTGAGACTTTCCTGTCATCGGGACGCTTCCCCCGACCCCTGAGACCCCGAGGCACACTTCCGTCCCGGGCTCTAAAAGCCCCCCTTGCACTTCCCTTGGGAGCAGGCGTCATCGGCAGTCGGCATCACGTGTGAGGTCCTTTGTTCAACGTCCTTCTCTCTACCGGACCAAGAGGGCTCCGGGAGGAAGGGGCTCGGGCTAGGCCTGGGGTCGGTCCCCTCCCCACTGCTCACAGCCCCGCGACCACCCACAGCCCTTTCTTGTTCCTGCAAGTGGACTCGCCATCCTAGCCGGAGGCGGCCTCATCACTTTCCCTCCCAACACGGTTTGGTTAGTCCCGCCTCTCAGCCTTGACTTTGGCCTCTGTGGTATCCTCTGCCTTCTTCAAAGAGCAGGGCCCGCCCCAGCCCGGCCCAGGGCCCACGGCCCAATTGCGGCCCTGTCCTCCCCGCTCCCTCAGCACCTTCCGTCCCGTGAGCCCCCGTTGCTTCAAGATGGCAGAGCGCACAGTGGCGGGAGCCCGGCTCTGGCCTCAGGTTGGGGCTGTGCAGTCACCAGCTGGGGGACAAGGACGTGATTTAACCTTTGTGCCTCGGCTCCCCTAGGTTCCCAAACATCGATGCCTCAGAATCACCCGGAGGGCTTGTCAAAACACAGACTGCCGCCCCCCACCCCCGAGCTTTTAGTTCCTACAGACTGACAAGGGGCCTTGAGAATGTGCCTTTCTGACAGGTTCCCAGGGGACGCTTATGCCGCTGGTACAGGGACCATTGTGAGAGCCACTGTCCTACTTGTTAGGGAAGGTAAGTGGAGATTGATTAACCTCTTCACGTTCCCAACAGGGGTTACGGAAAACGAAGAACTGAGTCCAGGGCCTGGCCACTCCATTTCCTAGCCCTGGGACCCTGGGGAAATCACCTGGCTTCTCAGAGCCACAGCGTTCTTACCTTCACAGGGTTGTCCTATCCCTTCCCACGATAGCCTGAGCTTCTTGACAGGGCTTGGTACACAGCTGGTGCCTAATTAATGTTTCGTGAACCAAATGAGTGAGGTGGGAGAGGCTGAAGCTACAGACTGTGGCACGAACGTGGGGGGAAGGCAGTCAAACCAACACAGGCTTACGAGACGGTGAGATCTGCGGTCACCCCGCCCAGCAGAGTGCAGGAGGGAATGGGAGTGAGTGAAGGGGCCAGACTCAGCTCACAGCTGCCAGCCCCGAGTGGGAGCGGCTTCAGGGCAGTTGGCCTGGGCTCAGGGCTAGAATTCCTGGGCCCACGTCGCCACACGGGGCCTTGCAGAGGGCAAGGAGGGCGATGGTAGTCTCGCCTAGGATGGATCAGAAATCATCAGGGTCGGGGCGCCCGGGTGGCTCAGTCGGTTAAGTGTCCAGATCTCGGTTTCTGTTCAGGGCACCATATCGCAGTTCTGTGAGTTCGAGCCCCGTGTGGGGCTCTGTGCTGACAGTGCAGTGCCTGCTTGGGATTCTCTCTCTCCCCCCCCCCACCCCTCCCCCACTCACAAGGTCTCTCTCTCTCAAAATAAATAAATAAATAAAGTTTAAAAAGAAATTTTTAAAAGAGTCATC